CCTCATACTTCACGGAGAAAACAGACACCATAATATCTTTCACCTTATCTCATCCCCAGTTCCAACAAATTACTTGTATCTATGACCGCATTCCTTACTTTCCCTTGAGTCATGGTAGAAGATGTATTTCTGATCCTATTTAAGAACAATCATATCCCCTCTCATCTTTTCGATGACTTTATTCCTAAAATCATCACTTCAATTTTGCATCATTAATTTTTCCCTTTTTGCTGGATCATTACCTTCAGCAAACATGCTATAATGTCACTAATTTAATGCCCCTTCTCTTGACTTCACAACCTTCTTCAACTATTGCTCCATTTGACTACTATTCACAGTCGAACTCCTAAAAGTTTCCTACAGTCACTGTCTCCACTTTTCCACTTCTCCATTTCTCATTTTCTCCTCAACCTACTCCAGCCGGGCTCTCATCAAGGTCACTACAAAAATGGTATTTATCAAAGTCTTTAACTACTTCTATGTTGTCCAATCCAAAGGTGAATTTTCATTTCCAGCTCACTGGAACTCTCCCCAGTATATTGTCACTACATCCTTCTTGAAATATTTTTTTCACAGTTCTTTTAGAGTAACAACAACAACAAATTATTGTTTTTCTCTTATTTCACAGCCTTTCTCCTTTTCCTCCTTTTTTAGGTCACTGAATGTTTTAGTGTTCCAGAGTTGTGATAGACTGCAGGTTTGTGTCCACCCCTCCATTCATATGTTGAAACTCTAACCCCAAGTAGGATGGTGTTTGGAAGTGGGTAATTAGACGTGAGAGCAGAACCTGCATGATGGAATCAGAGTCCCTATAAGAAAGTTAGTGCTTGCTCTCTCTTTCATTTTCCCCCTCCTTCCTCTTCTCCCTGCTCCCTGATCCTCTTTCTCCATCTCTCTCTCCGCCCCCTCTGCCTTATAAAGATACACCAAAAAACCAGCCATCTCTAAACCAGAACCTGACCATGCTAGCACCCTGATCTAGGCCTTTCAGCCTTCAGAACTGTAACAAATCTTTGTGGTTTAAGACCCCCAGGCTATGGTAATTTGTAATAGCAGCATGAGTTGACTAAGACGTGGGTCCAATTCTTGGCTTTCTTATCTATATACTAAAACATGGTTTCAAATACTTGTTCATATTTGAACAAATATGAATATCAAGTGTTGATGAATATCATATTTGGATATCAGATATGAATATCAAATACTTGTTCATGACTTCCAAATTTCTATCTCTAGCCCAGACCAGATTTTTCCCCAACCACCACCCCCACCCACCAACTTTACACATATATATTTAACTATTTAGATGAGATGTCCATTTGAATGTGCAATAAACATTTGACCATTTGCATGGTCAAAACAAAACTCGATTCCTTACCTCTCCCACTGATCAAATAACTGTGTGGTTCACAAACTTTTCCCATCTCAGTAAAAGGTATCATTATCCACTGGTTTGCTAATACATCAAACCTAGGAATCATCCTTAATTTTTCTTACATTTACTTTAGCAGTAAATTCTGTAGGATCTTCCAAAATATTGTTCTGACCCAAACCCCTCTCAGCATTTTCATGCTATCATTCTAGTCCAAGCCACTACCGTAACAAGTCTTCATTATTATATTAACTTCCTAGGGCTGCCATAATAAAGTACCACAAGCTGGGTAGCTTGACCAACAGAAGCTATTGGTTTTATAGTTCTGGAGGCTAGAAGCTGAAGAGCAAGGTATTGGTGAAGCTGGTTCCTTCTGAGGGCTGTCAATGACAATGCATCTCACCTAGATTCTGGTGGTTTACCGTCAATCTTTAGCATTTCTTGGCCTGTAGAAGCATCACTCTGATTTCTGCCTTCATCTTCACATAGCATTCTCTTTGTGTGTATGTCTGTCTCCAAATTTCTCCTTTTACAAGGACATCAGTCATATTGGATTAGGGCCCACCCTAACGACCTCGTTTTAGTTTTGGTTACCTCTGTAAAGACCTTATCTCCAAATAAGATCATATTCAGACGTACTGGGGATTAGGACTTCAACATGTGACAAACCAATTCATAAAAACTATTAAAACAGTTTCCTGTTTGGTCTTTTGACTATTCTTATTTCTTTAATGTCTTTTGTCTACATAGTGAGATAGTGATCTTTCTAAAATCTGACCATGTTACTCCTTCTGCTTAAAACCCTATGATGGCTTTTCTTTACAACAAAAATAAAACCTTCTCATCATAGCCTTTTAAGATTTAGTCCTACCTCTTTGACTGTCCCTTCCTCTATTCTCCCATCAATCACTGAGCTCCAAACATCTAGCCTTCTTTCTGTCCCTGAAATCCTCCATGTTCATTCCTACCTCATCACCTTTGAACTTGCTGCTTCTGCAGTTTAGAACACTTTAGTAGAGTTACAAAATTGCCTCCTTCCCATCATTCAAGTCTCGCTTTTGTTAAAGGCCGTACCTACCCATCTTAGCAAAAGTAACCCTCCACCAGTCATCTCTTTATTACATTATCCTATTTTTTTCACTTCAGAGTGCTCAAGATAATACACACACACACACACACACACACACACACACACACACACACACACACACACACACTCATTCTAGCCCAGTAGAATGAAAGCTCTATAAGGGCATGAGCTCTGTCTTCCTCAGCCCTGTGTTTTCATTTCTTTTAGCATGGCATATAACAGCCACTCAATAAATATTTGCTAATTAACTAAACAGCCCCTTCTCAGTGTTTCTTAGTAATCACATCCGTAGTTCTTTCAGTTGTTAGGTCTAAAATTTATCTGGAACTAGAAATGTTAATTCATCTACAGAAGGTCAGTGATCTCTCACTGTCTCCTCTCATATCTTAGACCACACACGAGTTCAACATTTCAAAGCATTAAACACTTGGAAAATGAATCTTCTGGATTTTGTTTGAAGATCATTCTCCTTGAATGGAGAAATGGGAAGTAAAGGAAATTTTACATAGTTCTGCTTTGTCTTAGTTATCTACTAATATTATTTGCCACAGATAAAAATTTTCCTCTTTTCATGTTTTTATACATTATTTTGCTGAGAAGCTATTTTTATTTTTCCTACTTTTTAAGCAAACTCCTGCTCACTCTATGACTAAGACTTTGACAATTGCTATGGTTCCATGCCACTCTTTTCTGATAGACTTCCCAGTTTCAAAGCTCTGGGATCCTTATGTAGTCACATTTAATTTTTAGCTGATTCTTCATTTTCTTACCGCAGTCATTTGTGAGGGGAGCATCAGAATCTGGCACTTAAATTCTCCCATCTCTGTTGAGCTGTACTTGCTTTATATGTCTCAGGATGCATGATCATATCTGTCTTTTTTCCAAAACAGTCTGAAATCTGATTCTTGAAGGTCTAAGATATATATCTGACTATCCTATTCTCTTGATTTTTTAAACCCTGGGATAATAGAATTGTTCAATTTCTGCAATTTCATCACTGATGGCTAGGTCTCCATCACATCTGGGAGACGCGTTCCTGCAAGCTGCCGCCCTATCGTCACCAGTCAGTCTCCACCCATCCTAAGTGCTTTCTTTCCCTTCTGTGGTTAGCACCTGATTCCTATGTCGATGCCTGTGGAGCCTTCTCTTTGTTTCAAAGAAGTTTAGAAGAAAGGGATTTAAAGGACCAGCATTCTGGTCTGTTACCATCACTTAGTATCTTGGTGCCTTTAGGTGAGTCACTCATTTGCTCCAAGTCACTGCTTTCTCATTTATAAAATGGAATTAGAATTCCTATTTACATCTCATGGTTGGCAAGAAGACCATTTGAAATAATGTGTATAGAAATATTTTATAAACTTGAAAAGTAGAGATCTTACACTAATGAAGAATCCAGCCTGCTAACCTATTTTGCTTGTATACATTCAAAAAATTTTAGCCCGCATTTAAAACTGTGGATATTTAACATTTAATCCAGAACTTTGGCTTTCTTTGAACAGCA